GGTAGAAGAGATGCTCACTGAATGTGGATTGTATATTTGAATTTTTGAGATTTAAGTAAAGTATTCTAAATTAACTGAATGTATTCTCAAGGCATTTTGAGGACATACTAATTCTTTCAGATCAAAGACCATTGTGACAAAAACTCAGAGGACTATGGTTCCAAATATGTGATTCACATTGCCTGTTATAAATATGGAAGTTCAGGCAGATCTTTTTTTTTCTTTCTTTCCCTATTCTTATTATCTTTTGACAGGCAGAGTGGACAGTGAGAGAGAGAGAGAGAGACAGAGAGAAAGGTCTTCCTTTGCTGTTGGTTCACCCTCCAATGGCCGCCGTGGCAGGCGCGCTGAGGCCAGTGCACCCGATCTGAAGGCAGGAGCCAGGTGCTTCTCCTGGTCTCCCATGGGGTGCAGGGCCCAAGCACCTGGGCCATCCTCCACTGCACTCCCGGGCCGATAGCAGAGAGCTGGCCTGGAAGGGAGGCAACCGGGACAGAATCTGGCACCCGGACCAGGACTAGAACCCGGTGTGCCAGCCCTGCTAGGTGGAGGATTAGCCTTTTGAGCCGCAGCGCCGGCCCCAGGCAGATCTTTTGACACAGTGGTTAAGACTCTGCTTGGGGACCACATTCCATATTGGAGTGTTCGGGTTTGAGTGCCCCTCTACTTCAGATTCCAGATTGTTGCTGGTGTACACCCTGGGCAATAACAGGTAATGGCTCTAGTACTTGGGTTCCTGCCACCTATGTGGGAGAACAAGATTGAGTCTGGCTTTAGTCTGACTCAGCCTCTGTACTTGAGAGCCTTTAGAGAGTGAACCAACAGGTGAAAGGTACATTTCTGTTTCTGCCTGTGAAATAAATTAAACAAACAATTTTAAGTGAAGACAAGTTCAGCATGCAGGCAATATTTTGTATCCAAACAGTTTCTCAATTTCAAATTAATGCTAGAAAAGTGACAATGAAGTAAGGTACTATTAAATAATTGCAAATAAGACAGTATTATTAGAGTGAGGATTCATGGCCAGAAATTTTGTCTCATGGTATCTGTTTTAGCTTCTGTTAGGCCATCTGAAATGGTCAAGAAAAAATTCAGTCTTTCTGTTAGTAAAAGGGACAATTGAAAATGATGTAATGTTTATCACCAAGCATTAACTAACGTAAGCATTGACAAATGCATGGCATATTTTTGTAGGAAAGTAAGCTTTTAATTTCTACACAGTGGGTATTTTTTTAAAAAAGGAAATTACAGTACAATACCACTAGTGCTTATTTTAATATGTTGAGCAAAACAGAAACTTCTTGAGGAAGCATGTAAGAAGGTAGGAGAAATTTTTAAGAGATAGGAAAGATATGAAATATATCAAGTTAAACCAATGCAGTCCTTTCATTTTGTTTTTTAATGAGAGAGCTGAGCTCCAAAGGAGTGAAGGTTACTGTGATATTGCTTATTAAATACTGTCAGCTTCAGTCAAGGAAACATGCTCATTTCCCTGATTCCATCAGTCGGTTGCAACTCCCTTCCTCTTAGCAGCTGAAGCTTAACAACTGGTTTTCACTGAGGAGAAGAAAACATGCTGTCCTGATTTTCTGCAGCAAAAGCCACATTTACTTTGAATACATCTCTGGGAAATGTGTTTTTGAAAGTGCTTATTGCCATCAGCAATTAATTGTCATGAGGTCGGCTCCTTTACTTATTCATTTCCTGTGCTTGATAACTAGAGGATGGTGGGAGATGTGCTTCCAGAAAGAGCCACATTTAAATATATGACAAGAGAAACAAAACTCTTGGAGGTGAGGGAAGCTCTCAGCATGGAGAATGCAATACTTTCTTTAGAAACGAAGTTTCCAAATGAGTTAGTTTTCGGTTAGCTCGTTGAAAAAGTGAAGAAAAGAAAACTTGATGTATGCATGAGTGAACTCCTGAGCTTTGGTTAAGGCGAAATGAAGGAGACAGAGACAGCCAGGGAACGGATGAAGGTGAGACAGAGTTGCCTCTGTGGTCAGTATTTTTCAGCTACTGACACATGGACACACTAAACTTCACTATCACTATACAATTTTCATTTTTTACATTATATTAATAGACTTACACAAAATGAGCTAACAAAGCTTGGGTTGCATAAGAAATTGTATAAAGCAAAGTTTTAAAGAGGATCGTGGTTAAACTGGCATGTTTAATGAGAAGTCATCAAAAAGTTTCATAATCACTAAAAATACTTTAATGCAATATGTAAATTTCAAAATTAATGTCAATGTCCATGAAGAAAAACATATGAAAATCATTATTAGTGTTTTTTCATTTTGCTTCAAATTTTAAGATGGCTCGGCATGGCTGTAATGGAAAATAGAACAGATCCACAGAAGACAGAGGGAAACTTGAGAGATGGCATGTTCATAGCATTGAATAGTATAAGAATGGTATTTTAAAAGATGGGTATTTATGAAATTTGAGTTTCAGCTAGATATGAAAAGCTTGCATATACATCAGCTCCTACTGTGGAGCAGTGGCCATATGTTATACAATATATTTTCCCTTTATCTCATATTTGATAGGTCATGAAATTATTTAATTTGAATTGATTTATTAGCAATTGAAGGACAGAATAACTTTGAGAACAATTAAGAGTTTTATGATACAAAAGATGATATTGAGTCTCACATGAAAATATAAGGGAAACTATGTTGAGACTATGCTTTCCTTGGTTGTATAAAGTTCCTCAATTAATTACAAAACTAATATAGGTGTCATGCAGTAGCATAAAAAGAGATAACTGCAAATAATGAATAATAAAAACCAGTCAAAATATCAGACATAAATTAACAAGCTTCTATTGCCATTTATTAGAAATATGGAAAGCACAAGTTCAGTTTAAAAAACACAGACAAGTACAGAAATATAAAACTTACTACTTAGGAGCAAATTTATTTAAATCACTAGCTTATATGTAAAAAGGTAATCTTCATTTTAAATTCAATGTAATCATTTTATGCTAACCAAAATGATGTAAGGAAGATTATATTTCAAATATCTATGTATTTATCTGAAGTATAATTCTGTGCTGGCTGATTTGGAAAACTGAGTAATATTTGAAATATGCAAAACTTAAGTATTTAACACAATTACTATGATAATTTGGGCAAGATACTTAACATTATTATTTTTGACAAAATATGTATATAAATTGTATATTCATTGATCTACTTACTTCTTTTACTCCAACAATAATGGTATGACATCTAAACTCAGGAGAGGTTTGGTCCCCAAGCTTTCTGTTGAGTGCTTTTGGCTTACTAGGGCACAGGGAACATTAATCGACAACCATGTCTACATTCGCAATAATTGAAGATGTTCAGAAGTGTTGACAATCTAAAACAGTCTCTTACCAGGATATTTGCTCAAGAAGCAGAATAACCAGACAATAGCAATACTTCACACTGCAGTGGGAGATGGAAGTTGGGAGACAGAGGAGTGAATATAAATGTTAATTTGTCAACAAGTATTTACTTATTGTCTGCTAAGATATCTGGAAAAGAACACTTTCCAATAAAGGCAGCATACATCAACACTAGCAAAACAGACAGATGCTTTCAGTGGAATGCCCAGGGTCCACAGATTAGTAATTTGTAGAACTGAGAGGACTATGTTTTCCATTGTCAGGTTACTAACGCTACCCCTTAAAATGTAAAAGGGTGACAGATCTCCTCAATTTAAAAATGAATCCACATTTATAAGAAGAGCAAAGCATGCTAATAATATCACAAGAAGGTTATGCAAAATATTTCATAACATGTCAAATGTCAAATGTTTGATGACTTGCTTTCACATTCCTTTTTTATCAGCCTATAATAATATTCAAATTGATTTGAAAATTATGTTGGTTTGTTTGCTTGGTGATTGAATATGTTTAATGAAACAGCCAAGATTACGCACTACATTGAGTAGTGAGATTCAAAGCTGTATACTATATTCTTATTATTTGAAATTTTAGCTTGCATATTTTCTTTTTGATGTGTCAATTATCTGATACTAAAAGTTTATATAAAAACCAGGGAAATTGCTTCATGTAATTGGTGAGCAAATTTACGTTACATATATGGGAATAAATAATGACAAAATCTGCGTTCTCTCTAGGAAAGGATGATGCTGAAGATGAAATCTAATGGATTTGGAGAAGAATATAAGGAAGCAACGAAAATAAATTAAGAAATTAGCTTCATGCTCAGGAAGAGGAGAGTGCTGTTCTTATCCAAAGGCTTTTAACTGTTATTAGAATTAGAAGGAACTTATTTCAGCTACCAAGAATGTGAGTGTCGAGTATATTCTAAGCTTTTGCCATTCTGAGAGAGAAAGAAAGAACTGTGTAGTAGTAGTGACTCCCAAATATTGCTGCACAATAGAATCACATGAGAACATCTCAATGCCCAGGAAACACTGCAGAGCAAATAAAGTCTAAATCTCTGGGGATGGCACCAAGGTTTTAGTATTTTTAAAATTTCCTCCAGTTGTTACAATGTACAGTCAAGTTTGAGGACCAGTTTGTTTCTCAAACTAGAGATTACGTCAGTGACATCAAAAGAGTTTGCTGAAATCCAAATTGTGGAGCTTCATCCTCAGATCTTCCAATTCTAAGATCTGGAATAGGGCATGAGAATTTGCATTTTTCACAGGTTTCCAGATGCTGCAGCTGCTGTGGAACAGGGAATCAAACTTTGAGGATGATAGGAATGGAATAGAATGTGTATAAAAATAACTTTTAATTTAGGGGAATTTGGATGTGGTGAGTAAATAGGATATACAAATAGAAGATTAAATATAGCATACAAATCAGAGTATGTCAAGTGTTAAGTGAATAGTAGAGATAGAAACAAGCTGGAAATCCTGACGAGTATTATTACTATGGATCTGGATATTTAACTCTTAGTTCTTAAAGAACAAATGGAATTTAAATAGGTACAGAAACTTCTAGAAGACCATCATAAACAACTAGGCTGAATTACCTGAAAATTAGGAAGCAGTGCATAAAGTTTGTTTGGGAGACTGTGAAATGGTCCTTCTGGCCCAAAGAAACAGTAATTTGCAGAAATAAATGGTGGTTTCCGTGGGGGGAATCTTGCTGGAACCAGGTGGTAGAGGGTCCTCAAAGAAGTCTGAATAAAATAAAATTAACAAAATTTTTCCTCTAGACAATAGAGAAGCTTTTGAACATCTGAGACATGTCCCTTAAAGCATTCTTTATTACAATGATCTCCACGAGTTTCTAGCCAGACTAGTAAACTTGGTATCCCATAAATCAAAACCAGTGGCCTGTCTTTGGAAGACCATTCATCAATTTCAGGAATGAGGCATTTTTAATATCAGCAAATTAAACACAAATGGATATTAAAAACTCTAACAGATGATTAATCAATAAAGGTGGACGCAGAGGACTTTATTACTTAGACAGAGATTAGCTGGTGTAGCTCAAGTGCTAGCCATAAAATTTGAAAATTAAAAATGATTGTTCATGCCAGGAGTGATGGGGAGCAGCCTAGAGGGACGTAAAATGTATGACCTTCCATGATAAACTCAAATTGAACAAAATAGTGAAGCTATCCAAGCATTCCCAATTCTCCTATGAATTTACTTGATTCTCAAATCTCATTATACATGAGGTTTTCCATACAGGAAACCAGACAGAAGCTTTCAATGTTGGAAGATGTATTAGAAAGTTTTTGAGTGCTAAGAGTGTTTCTGTGTGTTGACTCTTCACAGTCAGAGTTTCCAAAGAGCAAGGAAATTTTTCATCTTTCCTGGGAAGAAGGAGGCATAGAAATAAGATGTCACCTTCCTTCTCAGAAACTCAGTGGTTAAGCGGCCTTTGGTCCTCATCTTTCTAGTCCAATTAGTCAGGACTGCATGAATGAATTTTTTCCTCAATAATAAGGTCATAGTTATTATAGATAGGGAGGTAAAGAAGACGTAATCTTCAGAGTAAGGGGAAATGAAGTCACAGCAAAATGGATAAAGCATAGTCTTCATCCTGGGTAGGATCGAATATTGTACTGTTTTGAAAGACAATAACAGCAACAATAATGATAATAGTAATTACAATAACTGGGGCTTATATAAAAGTGCCAGGTACTGTTCTCAGCACTTTATCCACATGAATTCATTGGAAGAATATTTGTTACTTTATTGTAATGTTGCTGTATTATTGTTGTCATTTGACGGTGAAGGAAATTGAGATACAAAGGTTAAGTAGGGGCTGGCACTGTGGTATTGCAGGTTAAGCCTCCTCCTGAGATACCTGCATTGCATGTGGGCACCAGTTTGTAACCCAGTTGCTCCATTTCTGATCTAGCTCCCTGATAATGTGCCCGGGAAAGCTGTGGATGATGTCTCAAGTGCTTGGGCCTCTGCACCCATGTAGGAGACCCAGAAGAAGCTCCTGGCTGCAGCCTGGCCTAGCCCTGGTTATTGTAGTTATTTGTGGAGTAAACCAGTAGGTCGAGGATCTCTCTTTTTTCTCTCTATTTCTCCTCCTCTCTCTGCAACTTGTCTTTCAAAACAAAACAAAACAAAACAAAGCAAAACAAAAACAACAAAAAGGTGTTGAGTTTAGTAATGTGCCCATGGTCACTCACTACTAATGCTGGTATCAGGATCCCAAATCTATGTTTTAAAAAATGTATTTATTTATTCATTTGAAAGGCACAGAATCAGAAAGAGAGGAAGAGACAAAAAAACTTCCATCTGCTGGTTTACTCCCCAGATGACAGCATCAGCCAGGGCTAGCCTAGGTCAAAGACAGGAGCCTAGAACTCTGTCAGATTCTTCCACATGGTTGACAGAGGCCTCAGTACTTAGGCCATCAACCCCCGAGTTCTCAGGCACATTAGTAGTAAAATGGATTGGAAATAGAGCATCTGAGATTTGAATTAGCATTCTGATATATAGTACTGATGCCAAAAGCAACTGGTTACCCTACTTCACCACAAAGCCGCCTCCAGGATCCCAAGCCTTTGCATTTTATCACAACTCTACAGAACACACCCAGCTTTGCAGGACTGAACCATTGCATTTGTATCTGGGATACAATAGAGATATAGGAAAGCAACGTCTAGGTTGCATATGTCAGGAAATTCTCTCATGTTATTGGTATATAAGTAAACCAGAAATGCTTCAAACAATGAGTGGAGGGATGGAGTTTTCTGACTTCTATGTGGGTTCTAGGTAAATCATATAAGGGAAATTTATGTGCAGAAAATCATCAGAAAGGTGAACACCAGTAAGAGCAGCTGTGAAGCTTTGGTCATTGTAACTCATGATTTCTTTCCTCTCCTTGCCACTGTGTCACAGGTTCCTGAAGCTGGGATTTCAAGCTAATAAACGTGACAATAGCTTGAAAGCTAGAGCACATTACACCTAAACTTCCTTAAATATAGAACATTTCCAAGATTATTGAGGTATATAAATAATCTTTCACTTATTTCTCTTCCGCTTAGAATGTGTAAACTAACCTGGGGTTTAGAAAGAATATCAAAACAGAAGATACGTACTGTCTTAAAATTTTATAAATATATTTAAAAAATGCTGTAACATTTTACAAACATTAAGAGAATGCATAAAATAAAATTATATAATTGTAAGTTTTATCATAAAGTGAACACTCATGCTATGACCACTCAGATTAAAATTAAAAAAATACTGACTTCAGAATCCTCTCACATCTTTCCCAATCACTATCTCTTCCCTTCCAAATAGGTGACTACCTGGACTTTGTGATGATCCCCACTCTGAAATATATTTGCTGACATAATTGATTTATTCAATAATATTGGTGGACATTAGACATTTCACTTGGGGCTATTAGGAAAATGCTCTTGTAAACAATCTGGCCATGTGTTTTTGTCCACATAGATGTTAAGTTTCGTTAGGGAAAGATTGAAGTAGAATTGGTAGATTATGTGGTCAGCATATGTAATTCTTCTTCTTCATACATAGTGCCAAAGCATTTTCTGTACTGGTTGTACTAATTTATACTCATATTACATCTTAGTCCACCTTCCATGTGGTTTGTCTTTTCAATTTTTGGCATTCTAGTGATCTCTTATTGTGGTTTTAATCTCAATAAAATGTAATATAAATATATAGGTATATAAATTAAGGATATATACACACACACATAGAGTAAACGCATACTCGCACAGATTTGGATGGAGTAATTTAGGATGTCAAAGATGAGAAGTGGTCAGAGGAACAAGCCCTGTCTTCTCCAACATTATATCAGAGAGAAGACGGAGAACTAACATTACTTGCCATATAAGTAGCAGAATGGAGTTTCAATGTATATCTATGCATCTCCACTGTCCAAGCTGTTCCAAACATGATGAACTATTTCAGAATTACACTCCAGAAAAATGCAGACCCTAAAGAGGCAGATGCATTGTGTGCTTGTTGCAGCAGAGTAGTTTTTATAAAAATATTTTCAATTTTCTTTTCTGTGATGCAATATGAGACATATTTGCTAAAGGCAAAAAAGTAGTAAAGGCTTTGTGGGATGGTGCTAATGAAATGCTGAATGCTGACATGAGAGTACATAAGCCCTGTGACTATAATGGAGCAAATAGAAAAGAATGAGTAGCTAAACAAAAAGAGGAACAATAGGAAGCCAACACTTTTCGTTCCAGAGAAGAAAGTGACTTTTGTACATTTTTTGTCTTTTGGTTTTGAGTATTTTTTTTTGTAGTTTTTAGTTTCCATAACAGCAACAACAATTTTACCTATGAAATTGTTCTGGCTTTTGTGATTTCAAAGCATCTTGAATACAGGGAAAAGTGATGCCTTGATTATATTTCAGTCTAATGATTGTGTACCATTCTCCATGCTACCTCTTCTCATTTATTTTAGGATAGAGATGGTCCAATTTAAAATTAAATACAATGCAGGGTGGTTTCCACTCTAGTAGGTAACTAGTGACAGAATCAGAATTCAGCATCATAATCTACCTCTGTTTTTCTCTATTTTTCTCATTGAAATGTTAATGTTAATGAGGATTTCAAACTCACAACCACAGACATAAAACAATGTTCTGTCGGCTTATTTGCTAAGGTTTTACCAGAATCTTTCATAAACTACTTTTCTTTTCCTCCCTACTTTCAAGAACCATAGTGATCCAGAATCCCAGTGTGCAGTGAGAAATGGCTAAGGACTCAATAACATGAGTTATTTTCATGGTCCCATATGTAACTGGCTGCCAGCTCTCTCAGCCTTTAGTATCAAAGAAAAGCATACGTGTTTCTGATTCTAGAGTATTTGCTAGTATGTGATCACTTATTGCACTTATATTTACTTTTGACTGTAAAGTTTAGGTACACAAGTTTATTGTAGTCTACTTTGTTACTGAGAATTCTAAATATCAAGAGCATTTATTCATCTTCAAATCCATGGTCAAAAAAGACTATTCATGCTAACCTAAGCCTAGATTCATTCTAAGCTACAACCCTGACCTATGGTCACATACCTGCCACTTTCCTATGTTGTTAATTTCTCTCTCTCTCTCTTGCTCCTTATATCATGAAATTTTACAATAGTGTTTACTTTTATTTTGCTACATATTCCTGGGATTTACTCCAAGATGAAAGAGAAAAATCTAAGTTGGTAAATTTTTTTAGAGTTCATTACCATAAGCATCGTGAGAAAGCAAAGACAATATAAAATCTATTTCCTATAATCCTGGATTTACAAATCAGCAGAGCAATAAAATATAAAGAAGTAGCAAGTTAAATATATACTCAAAATTTAATTAACATTTTAAGACCACAAACCAGATGCTAGAAGAACCTGTGTAATTGAGAGTAGTTATGAACTGAATAACAAAAAGAATTTCAAGTGTTACAAGGAAGAGAAAATATGTTGGAGGTATTTGCATAGAATCTGGATAGACAGATCAAACTAGACAAATTCACAAAAAGCATGAGAGTACTAATTCAGAATGACTGTGTGAATAGTATGGGGAAGAAATCACAAAAATCTTGGTGGAGAAAAAGTAAAATAATTTGCCTAGAACTTAGATATAGTGTTGGAATGATAGTCATGGCTCTGTTTAGATTTTAGTATTGTGTACACTAAAGTAGAGAAACAGACCAATAAACGATATCAAAGCCCAACCAAAATGACATTCTATAGCATCTCAGGCCTTTGGAAACTCAGTTGTGAATTTTCCCACTTATACTTCAACTGATTCCATTGTTAACATATTCTTTTTTTAAAAAAAATTATTTATTTATTTGAAAGCCAGAGTTATAGATAGAGGGACACACACACACACACACACACACATACACAGAGAGAGAGAAAGACAGAGAGAGAGAGAGAGAGAGAGAGAGAGAGATCTTCCATCTTCTGGTTCACTCCCCAGATAGCCACAGTGACCTGGCTGGGCCAGGCAGAAGCCAAGAGTCCAGAGGTTCCTCCAGGTCTCCCACATCTGTGCAGGGACCAAGGTACGTGAGTCATCTTCCCTGCTTTCCCAGGTACATTAGTAGGATCCTGGATTGGAAGTAGAGCAGCCGAGACTCAAACCAGCTGCCATATGGGATCCCAGCAGTTCAGGCTTTTTTTTTTTTTTTTTTTTTTTTTTAATTAAAAGGAAGAGAGAGAAAGAGAGCCTCAAAGCGGTCTCTCATCCAATGGTTTACTTCCCAGAGGGCTACAGTTACTGGGGTTGAACCAGGCTGAAACTAGGGACCCAATATTCTACCCAGATCTCCTACATGGGTGACAGGAACCAAGTACTTGGAACCATGATCTGCTGCATTACTAAGCACACTAGCAGAGAGTTGGATTAAAAGTGGAGAAATGAGAACACTTACTGACACTCACATGGGATGCAGGTATGGCAAGTAGCAGCTTCATCCACTGCGCCACAATGGCCAGCCCCTGCCAACATAATATTGAGTCTCCATTTCAACCTCTAATTGACCCTTTCTGGCTCCTGACTCCTGGATCTGCTCCCAGATTTCCATCTTTCTGCATCTCTGGCTTGAGTCCTCAGTGGCTTCCAATAGGGTAGCCCTCTCCATCTATCTTGCTTGAGGATGTCCCATGATGGCTTGTTGCCAGACAGTCCCATTTGTCTCAAATATCACTGCTCCTTGGTCTTTGGATGTCAGCTTGTTGACAATAGGCCTGGGGTTATTAACAATATTTAAGGAGAAGAGCAAAGAAGCAAAACAATGTTTCAGGAAAATTAGACTGACAGTGATGTGAAAATCAGAAAAGATTATGTTGAGAGTGCCTAAATGATGGTAGGTAGGGACCAATTAGCTTAACTTTTCACAATGTCAAATGCCTTTATGCTTCTAAGTAGAATCAGACTTCTTGGGACTTATTAGCTTTTCCTGTAACATCAAATATGACTTTTCCCATTTAAATCTAGCAATGTTGTTCTGCTGTGTTGCAGAACAAAAAGAACATCTTATTAACCACATTTTATTACAATAATACAAATACTGGAAATAT